ATTGAATAAATTGGACCTCCTAAAACTGAGAAGCTTCTGTAAAGCAAAGGACACTGTCATTAAGACAAAAAGTCATCCTACTGAATGGGAGAAGATCTTCACCAACCCCACATCAGACAAAGGTCTGATCTCCAAAATATATAAAGACCTCAAGAAACTAGACTTTAAAATGCTAATTAACCCAATTTAAAAATGTGGCTTTGAACTGAATTCTCAACTGAAGAAGTTCATAAGGCCAAGAGACACTTAAGGTCATGTTCAACTTCCTTAGCAATAAGGGAAATGCAAATCAAAACAACTTTGAGATATCATCTTAAACCTGTCAGAATGGCTAAAATCAAAAACACCAATGATAGCCTTTGCTGAAGAAGATGTGGAGTAAGGGGAACACTCATCCATTGCTGGTGAGAATGCAAGTTTGTTCAACCACTTTGGAAATCAGTGTGGCAGTTTCTCAGAAAATTGGGAATCACCCTATCTCAGGATCCCGCATTACCACTCTTGGGAACATACCCAAGAGGTGTCCTATCATACTACAAAAGTATTTGTTCAACTATGTTCATAGCAGCATTATTTGTAATAGCCAGAACTTGGAAACAAACTAGATGCCCCTCAATGGAAGAATGGATAAAGAAAGTGTGGAATATATACGCATTATAGTACTACTCAGCGGTAAAAAAACAATGAAATTTTGAATTTCGCATGCAAAAGAATGGAAACAGAAAACACTATCCTGAGTGAGATAATCTAGACCCAAAAAGATGAATATGGTATGTACTAACTCATTTGTGGACTTTAGCCATAAACCAAGGTCATTAAGCCTATAATTCACAAGCCCAGAGAAGCCAAATAACAAAATTTGAATCCAAAGAAAAACATATATAGATCCTTCTGGAAATATGAAGCAAACAAGATTGCAGGGCAAAAGTTGTGAGCATGGAAGTGGAGGCAGAGGTGGGGTGAGGCTGGGGGAAAGTGGAGAGGGGAGAGTGTAGGGAGAAAGGGAAAGCCTGGAGAGAGCTTGGGGGAGTGGGAGGGTGGAGATGGAGGAAGGGCGGATATAGGAGCTGGGAAGAAGATATCTACATTAAGGGGGCCATTTTAGGGTTGGCAAGAGACTTGACTCTAGAGGGGATCCCAGGTTTCCACCAGGATGTCCCCAGCTTGGTCCGTGGGCAGCAGAGCAAAGGGTGCCTGAACTGTCCTTGCCCCACTATCACGCTGATGATTATCTCAAATATCACCATAGAATCTTCTGGTGGAGATAGAGACAGAGACCCTCATCAGAGCAACGGACTGAGCTCCCGAGGTCCAGTTGAAAGGCAGATGTAGGGAGAAGATGAGCAAGGAAGTCAGGACCGCAAGGGGTTAGTCCACCAACTGAGACAGTGTGGCTGTTCTAATAGGAGCTCACCAAATCCAGCTAGACCGGGTCTGAATGAGCATGTGATCAAACCGGACTCTCTGTGGCTGACAATGGGGGCTGACTGAGAAGCCATTGATAACGGTACTGCGACTTATTTTTACGGCATGTTCTGGCTTTTTGGGACCCTAGTCTATATGGATGCACAGCTCCCTAGACCTGGATGTAGGGGTGAGGGCTTGGACTTCTCACAGGGCAGGGTTCCCTGACCTCTCTCAAGCAGGGTGGGAGAAGGAGGAGAGGGGGTGGGGGAAGGGGATGGGGTTGGGAGGAGGGAAGGAAGTGTAAATAATTGAATGGAAAAATTAAAAAACAATAATAAAAAAAGAAATTAAAAAAAGAATCATTTTCTAAAGATATACAGTGTGTGCCTGCTTTTCACTCAATTCTCTGTGAAAATGCACTTTGTTATATTGTGGATCTAGGTTGGGGAAAAGAAGGGAAAATGACAAAGAAAGTAAGGAAGTTTCTCTTTAAAAGACTGAGAAATACCAGAAATAAAAGTTTAACGATTCCCACTGGTGTGCAGGGAAATCTTACTCTCTGCTGACACCATGCAGAGAGTAAGTACACACATACACCCTGGTCCAAGGGTCATGTGGGTCACATGTCCTCTCCCTCCCTGACCTGGGTGAAAGGAGCAGTGCCCAGCACCATGGATCCAGTGCAGTGCTGCAGAGGACTCTTCATTGACTGAGGAGGAGAGGTTTGGGGAGGGCAGTTAACATTGCAGAAATGATTCACTTCCCTTTTAACATATTATTCTGGCATGCTCTTCTATTATTTAATTAATCTATAAATTTATATAATTTAATGTAATTAAATGAAAATTACATTATGACTGAGCACGGCTGTTCATCTCTGTCTTCTAACTCTTGGGAGGCAGAGTCAAGGGGATTGCAACTCAGAGCCTGTCAATTCCTACTTGGGAGACTTTGTGTTTCAGTTTGTTTCAAAGGAAAAATAGTAAAATAGCTATGTGTCCTTAACCATGAATTAAATTTAAGCTCAGCATTGTTTCGCAAATCACATAAAATCCATTTATGTGACTGGATACTATGGATTTCTTGTCTAAGTTTCTTCTTTCCTGCTTATCGTTTTTGTCTCCCGCTCACCAATATGTGTGTCCTTCATCTCCCCTCATCCCCGCGTCTGAGCAGGGTCTTGCTCATCTGAGCTGGCCTAAACTCATCCTGATCAGCCTCCCAAGCACATAAGAGTGTAACCTACCTTAACCATATCTGGCCATCTAGATAGACATATTTAAATTAACAAAATGAACTCTCCCTGTCGTTACAGTTCATCTCTGTGGAATAATGAGCACTACCATGTGCGGAATATTTCCTCCTGCAATTTCCAAAAAACAAGTGTGTCTGTAGGATCATGTTTTAGAAAAGGAAATCCAGGGGAAAATAACCAACAAGTTCATAAGCTTGACAAAATTTGCCAAATCATTCCTGGTCCTTAAAACTGGCAAAAACTCAGTCTCCGAGATTCCACTTTGTTAGCTGATAGGATGGAGAATGAGGTGTCTATTTTACTCTTACTGACTGTGAACTTTAGTTCTGCTCAGAGCTTCAAAAATAATTGTGATTACTGACAGAAAAATCATCTGTTTAAGTTAATGTGGTGAGATTTCATGTCACACAGAACTCACAGTTCTTTCAGATTTATTTGTTAGCAAAATGAATGCGACCTTTCCCATTAAAGTGATTATCAATAACAATCAATAAGAGGCAATCAGAAATAAAAGCACTCCTTTCTTCTATGTTTAGACAGAGCATGGAAACACATTCCAAGGAAATTTCTGTTATTTTGAGAAACAGAGAGGGAAGATGCAACCAAGCAAAATATAAAAATGTATAAATCATGGTAAAGTAGAGCCATGGTGCACCCAAAATGTAACAGATGTTTAGTCAGATATGACAGAACAATTTTTACAAATAAGGTATAAAACTACCTCTAGTGATTCTACAATTTCATTTTCAATGATTACATCAATTATTATTTTTTAGAATGCATCTATCAGATTCATAGAAAGATATCGATATCTTATTGTGTGCATCTAAGTTAAGAAATCAGGTAGTGAATCCTTCACTTATGGATGTAGAATGAGATCCTTTTGCAGCTCTTTGATGACAAACAGCTGGAGAGTGTTGTGGAGAGCAACCAGGCATTAACAAAGGGCAGTTGCTAACAAGCCTCAGTCTGTTTTCATTACACTGCATTTTAAACTTGCAAATTGACAAATCCACATTTTTAATCAACATACAAACTATAGATGCATAAAATAAAACTTTACCATGTATTCCTTATCCAGTTAATTCCACATGGACAATCTTAATTCCTGCAGAGAACCTTCATGAATATAAGACCACAGAAACATTTCAGTGCATTTAAGTTCTGTGACTGGTGCATTGAAATTACAGGAAGTGGACATAGCTCATAGCATTTTTCACAAGTCTATAAAATATTTTCTACAAATGGAAACATGCAGACATTTTGAAAAATCTCAAAACTGAATCATTGCTGAACTAATATTTAGCAAGTACAGCATCAGGGACAAGATATGGATTTCTTTGAATAACATGATTAAATCACTACGAAACTGACAAAATTTGACAAATTTGATATGGAAATTCTTCCCTGTATTTTATGAATATTGTTTATTACCATTGCTTTAAAAAAAGAAGCTGCTTTATTCAATGGCAGGGCAGAATAGAGCTAGACAGGAAAACTAAACTGAACGAAGGGAGAAAAAAGACAGAGTCAGACTGTTGTTACGTAGTTACTGGAGGAGAAAGACACCAGAACCGCACTAAAAGGCCACACCCTCATGGTCATTAATAGAAATGGATTAAATTTAAGAGCTAGCTAGAAATTCATCTGAACCATCAGGGAAACAGTGTTGCGATTAGTATAGTTTATCTGTGATTATTCCGGTCTGAGCAGGCAGTAAACCAATGCACGGTGTTATTTTACACAGATTCATCAGTGTGCTTCCAGTAACGGTAATAGGAAAATCAGTTTAACAAAATATAAATAAGACCATTCTCTCTGTGCTGGAGACATAGCTCAGTAGTTGAGAGCACTGGCTTGTCTTCCAGAGGACGCAGGTTCAATTCCTAGCAGCCAAAATGGTACAGAACAAACTCTCTAACTCCAGTCAGTCACAGGACATTTGACAATCTCTTGTACCCTTACAGGAGCCAGGCATGTATGTGCTACAAGGACTCAGGGACATAATGGAGGTAAATTATTGATACACAATACAGATATAGGAATTTTTTAAAATCCTCTCCAAAAAGAGGAAAAGTGGGGAATAAGGTTTCACTTATCACTGTAATATACTAAGATTTCTTTCTCAGCATAAGGTTGAGTTACCATGAAGACTGTTTGAAAATAAACACATACTTAAAGTGATTTGAGAGAATTTTGTTTTACCCAAAATATCACATAACTGAGAGCTCTTTCACATTATTTAATAGAAAAGTAAAACATATAGTTTCTCAATTTTTCCCACTGAACATGACAACACTCAGGAAGAAGTCCTTCCCTGTGAATCAACACAATGGGGCTAAAAGTTGCATAACCAAGGGTTGTAAATTCTTGAATATTTCCTATCAAGGGTATCTTTGCTAAAGAGAGACTTAAAAATAGAGAAAAAGCACAGTCCGTCCAATAGAAGAAAACAAAACAGAGCATCAGAAGGAGGACACTCTGAGCAGCTCTCAGCTCAGGGGGAGTTCTGTAGAGAAGCCTGGAGTTCTGGAGGTGGAGGACATGCTGGTGGTGCTTGTGGAGAAGAAGTACCATGTAGCCACTGGCCGCTCCCATGGCTCCCTGAAACACAGCATCTCTCAGGACCATGAAAGGGAGAACAATCCACTTAATCTTCTGATTTTCAAGCATTAAGGAACAATAGTTATCATCATTCTTAAACTGTGATATATTCAGGCTTGTCTTTGTGATGGAATGGATCAGGTTCATACCTATTAAAGCGTTGAGTATCCAAAAGAAAGAAAAGAATAGGAGTATGTGCCATACAGACTTTGGTCTAAGCCTCCTCCATCCAGATGCTCTGGGACTGATGATGATGGCCTGGACCACAGTGAGGAGACTGCTGGTACAGATGGAGACCCCACGGGAAACCCTCTGCAGGTAAACGATGATCTTACATTCTATGTCATCTAGGAAGTTTCTCAAGCCAAAAGCTGCCATTGTCTTTGGCAACCCTTTTGCAAGGAGCATTATGATGTTTGTGAAAGCCAAGTGGATGAGAATAAGGTGCACAGGTTTCTTATCAGGACCTCCAAACCAACTGAACATATAATTGACAGAAACAGAAATATTCCCCAGAGTGCCAAACACAGTCATAAAGAGGAAAACTGTTTGCTTAATAAATTTCAAAAGCATTTCTTCCTTCCTGGGTAGAAAATATTGTATTCAGGATACAAAAAGTTTTTTCCATAGAGCATCAGTAATGCTAGACATTTACCTGAAAACATTTCACATAATAGTATTTTCTGGTATATGATAGTCAGAGATGAACACATGTGCTGATGTAGACTGGGTCCCTGAACTCCTCCTCTTCCCTGTGGACTCTGAGTTATGTGTGTTCTCTGGCAAGTGAGCTTGGTAACTGGAATAAAACGCTAAAGTTTTAAAGGAGATACATTTGACCTCTACACTATCAAATAGACTTGTTAAAATATGAATTGTTTGTGTGTGTCTCTGTGTGTATGTGTCTGTCTGTCCACATGCTGGGATTAACATAGATAACTCTCATCATAACTGGAACAAACTGTAAATTTCCCGAAACAAAATTCTTCTCTCTCTCTCTCTCTCTCTCTCTCTCTCTCTCTCTCTCTCTCTCTCTCT